CTCCAGCCTGCAACTTGCAGGTCGAAAGTTATATCTTTGGCTGGTAGGGATAAGACCTCACGCGATCGAAGACTCTACATGTTATCGCGGTGTTCTGAAAACCGCTACGGTGTCACCGTGAATGCCGGGTAATGTAGCAACAAAGGTTGCTCCAAAGTTGCTCGGGAGGATTGCTTCTACAGCATTTAGACGCGCTAAAGGTATTACCCGCATAAATGGTTAGAGGTCTTTTTTGGCTTTCTCCCTCATTAGGGAGTCTTCTATGTGCTGATTTGAGTGCCGGTCGAGAAAACCTCCCGGCTCATAGTGGTCGAGCTCAGCATCACAGCCAGACCCGTGCCACGTTGTAGACACCACTATTAAAAAAACAAGATAGCGTCACACGCCGCAATTGTCTCAAACTGGAGTTCCCACTGGAAGGGTTCTCCACACTGGGAACTGCCAGGATTTGAGTGGGGTACTTGTCCAGATTTTCTGTAAGCGCATAGGGAAGGCTCGATCAAACTCTCGGAGAGCGAGTTCTGGCTGAAATCGCTGGCAGACAGGTTGTTTCGCAGTGCGAAACTTGCACAGAATCCACTTCGCAACCAAATATCAACTCCTGTTGAGAAGTCTTATATTCTCAGATTGATGATGATGGATCCCAATGGAAGAAGAGAAATCAATGTAGGACCCGTAATCTACTCAAAAGTTTAGTGGGCGCATACTGGAAGACTTGTCCCACACGTTGGCGCTTCCGACTGCGCTCGATCTCTCACAGTTTGAGTCTGGCGATGCCAACTCTCTCCTGATCAGGCTGAAATTCGAGGTAGTTGGCAACCAGCATGATGTCAGGAAGTATCCACATACTTTGTGGTTTGCCCATTATTTCCAAATAGCACCCACTGTTTCGCATAGCAACATAGCTCCTATAGTCGAGCTCGAGCGCGACCTCCTGGCCTGCAGAGTCTTGAAACAAGAATCTTAGCGTCGGCATGAATTTACGGTAGACACAGTCGACCTTCCAAACGTTGGCGGCCTCGAAGTGTGTAAGCTTGACTGGGGTCTTCGCCTTCAGGGTCGCTTGCTCCTCAATACCCTTCAGAAGTTCCACCATTCTAGAGTCCGGAACATACACGTAGTTGCAGCCGGTGTCGAACATTACATTTTCCTTGAGAGACGTAGACTTCCCAGTACCAACTTGTAGCCCCTCCAGCATCGCTTCGAAATGGTTTGCAACCACAATCGGCACATATCTCAGCTGCCCTTTGTAGAGTTTCGGATCGCCTCCACCGAGAAGGAGTTCTCCATCGAAGCCCTTCTTAAAGAGGGTTTCGGGCTTCAGATAGAAGGAGAATGTGCTCTCCTTGATAAGCTTTCGCTCCGTTA